TTATTCTCTAGAAATTCAGCAGTTTCACGATCGACAATAGTAGCATTGGATACATCTGATATCTCCTCTACTTTAACGATAGAGGAATTTGCCTTCATGACTTGAGATAATGATACAACGTTTTCTTCAGACTTAGGAATGGGTTCTATGATAGAAATTATTATACCCGCCTCTCTGAAAAAATTGATCATTCTCCAACTAAATAATCGTTGATAACGAAATTTCTCTAACATAAATGCTACCCATAATCGAATGGTTAGCACATCCTTATTCTGGATAACAGAATCAATATCTGGAAATATTTCTCTATTCTGAAGTTCTCGGGAAAGACATTCACGTTTAGCATTTAATAACCACTAAAATAATCCCTTTTCTATAATAGGAACATTAGAAGATCTCTGCTTAATATGACATATATAATCCTTAATACACCGCATGCGGAATAACATCTGATTCATTCCAGCATTTGTTTCTTTATAACTATTAAAGAGACAGAATGCCCGCTCAAACTTTGGATTAGTGCATGATACTCCTATTTTAGAGTGCTAGTATAGGCAATTAGGTCTAAGTCTTTCCATGATTCTTCTACATTGCTAAAATCGTGAGCCTTTTCCTCAGGATCTGATTTACCATAATATTCCTTGATTCGTAGTTTTGGAAAATCAGTCTTAAGAGCACAAACAATCCCTTGAACGTCCTTTCTGAGATGGCAGATAAGTGAAGCACTTTTCCGATTCTCAATAGGTAATGAATTCATTTTCTTAGCCCAATCGCAAAGTTCAGCTAATACAGTTTCTTTATTAGAGACCAAGCGGAACCTCTTGCCCTTCTGGGGCTGGTAAGTATTATGAATAATAGAGAAAGGTATACCCTTGCGCAGGGTTTTAATCCATTCAATATTGAGGTCAGTTAGGTCATTATCCATAACAATAATATGCCTCGCCTCTTGGATTAATTTATATAACTTTTCTATCGATTGACCCGCCAGACGATTTTGTGCTTGAGCAATTATAGATACTATTTCATCAAGCCATAAATCATATTGGATTGGAGGACATTTACATTTTTTACTGCATTTACAATTATTAGTAATCCGATGTAAGCTTTCTATCTGGCAAACTACCCTCTTGTGATCAGGTAGATTTATATTACCATCAATATCACAATATGATTTGAGATTGAGTCTTGTAGTAACAGCATTCGAGTAAGAGTGACACGTGGATAATACTAGTAAATTCACATCATTAGATATAGTAAGATGCTCTAAAACATATGTTTTTCTCGTCTCCCAAGGTGATCCTACATAGATATCGCCTTCATTGGGTAATGGTCTTACATATCTCTCCTTATATGTTTCTGTCGCTGTAAGAGGATCATTATACTGGACCCAAGATGTGAATTTTATGAAGGCTTTAAAAAAACCTGGGTCTTTTATCTTGCGAATGTTAGACGCCAAAGATATATTTTTATTTTTTTGCTGAATTTTTTCCGCAATAGATGGGTTGCATTCAAAAACATTCCCTGGTTCATCACTATTCTGCTGAAAGCATTTTACGATGAACCTTCCACTGCTAGCACATATACGGCTGAACTACCTCTGATCCTTGTCATATATACGTTTACATAGTGAACATTCTAGTAGAGCTTTTCGGTTGAAATATACGAAGTTTTCCTTCGTTTCTTCCTTTTCTTCGATAGTCCAATCCTTAAGATAGTTAGAATGCTTTTGCAAAACAAGTTTCACGTATTTTTGCAATACATCCTGACCTATGATTATTTTTAAT